TTAACGAGGCTCCCCTCGATTAAAATTGTTCGATTACTATGAAATAAGAGTTAAGTCAATTTGAAAGAAATAACATTTGGGAACTTATTCCCAAAGCTTCAACTAATAAAGCGATTGGAACCTGCTGCTGGGTCTTTCACAATAAGCTTGATGAATATGGAAAAGTTTTATGAAAGGATACAATCAACAAGAAGTCATATAATTTGATGAAAGTTATGCCCATGTATCTAGATTAGAAGTCTCAAGGATACTTCTATATTTCTCAAGCGTCATGGATTTTAAACTTTTCGAAATGGTTGCAAAGAGTGAATTCTTGAAAGATTACATTCGGGAGGAAGTGTTTGTTAATCAAACTCTGTTTTTTAAAACTCTTCTTTTCTTGATCATGTTTTCAAATTGAAAAAGGCTCTTTATGGCCTGAAACAATATCCTAGAGCTTGGTATGACAGTATGATCAAGTTTCTTCTTGAAAATGGTTCTCAAAGAGGGAAGGTTGATAAAATCCTTTTTATCGAAAAATTTGAGCATGACATCTTATTTGTTCAAATTTATGTCGATAACATCATATTCGTTTCTATTAACAGATCCTTGTGTAGGGAATTTTTTCATAAACGATAGAGAATAAGTCTGAGATGTCAATCATGAGGGAGTAGGGTATACTCTCTATAATTGTAAGGGGGAGTTTAACCACTCCCATATTTTATCTTTGTTTTTGTGTTTGTTCCACCTCCCTAAGAGATGTGTTGTCATAATAAAAAATGACGAAAATATAGATCTACGAACTTGTAGATACAACTATCTGCATATGATCACCATGGTTTTAAAGATGACAACACCTAAGGTTAAAAAATATTCGATGGGGGTCCTTGAGAATCTCTGGTCAAGAAACCTCTGATGACGGTGTCTATAAAAGAAGCTATATAGAACCTCATCACTTAGAAGAAGAAATTCCTAGATGAAGTAATAAATCAATGATGGATAAGGAAAATTATCTTAAATCTTCAAGGATGTTAAAGAGAGGATGTGTGAAAGATTTCCTAGTCCTGTGTCTGAGTGATTAGTGTATTGTAAAAGTATAAGAGTAACTCCTAAGATACTAAGACAAATCCCCTCTCCCTCTCTCTCTCTCTCTCTCTCTCTCTCTCTCTCTCTCTCTCTCTCTCTCTCTCTCTCTCTCTCTCTCTCTCTCTCTCTCTCTCTCTCTCTCTCTCTCTCTCTCTCTCTCTCTCTCTCTCTCTCACACACACACACACACACACACACACACACACACACACAACACACACACACACAAAAATACTTTTGAAGCCTCTCTCATTTTATAAAATCACCTAAGTGATTACTAGATTGTTTAAAACTTTATGAGTGAGTTGTAGACTAGATAATTGATTAAATCATTAGAGATACTCAATTAACTCTTTTGTAACACCTCCAAATTGTTAAAATATTATTCTAATTAATTATTGATGACGAATTTAAAAGCCTCCCATATTTGACAAATCTAATCGATTGGCCCTAGGTGTTAATCGATTAGAAGCATTAAAAAGTCCATGAATCCTTTTCCTTTTTGAGACATATTTTTTCCTATAAATAAAGTGCTTCTTCTCCTTCTAAATACACCTAGGTTCATTTTAAATATCTTGTTTCTCACTTTCTACTAATTTTCTATTCTTTCACTAAAGTTACCTTAGTGCAATGCTAGTGAAAAACACTTGTAAGAGTTTAGTTACTGATGTTCGTGCTTTAGTTGTTATTAATGAAGAATGGAATTCTCTTGTTTGATTTCTTTGTCTGGTTCTTAAGATTATCTTGAAAAATATCTGTTTGGTTCTCGAGATTGTCCTCATAAAATATTTGTCTAGTTTTTGAGATTAGCCGATTAGAATTCTTACTTGGCTCGTGAGCTCAACTTGTTAAAAGCTCTATTTGGTTTGGGGGATCTGCCTGTGTAAACTCTCTCATTTGTTTTAAGAAGGTTCGTGGACACTTACTTAAAAGCTTGATACATTTTATTAGTGGAATTCTCAAGAAGAAATTCTTGAAAACAAGAGTAGGTCAAGTGGTAGGTGGAACTTGTATAAATCCTGGTGCAATCTCTCTAACCATATCTCTTTACTTTTTGTAATTTATTTTTTTCTGTCCTATCTTATTCTTTCTTTCCTATTTTTCCACTGATTTATCTCCATTTAATTTTTGAACTAATATAAATAGTTTTTTTATAAATTAATTTCGATTTCTAAAAAACACAATTCACCCCTTTCTTGTTTTGGAGTAACTTGTTCAACAATAATGTGAGTAAATTATGGTTAGAATATAGATTAGATCTTGTGTGATATCCTTTATATATGATGAGTGGTTAGGGATCTCCTTAATTTTTGGCGTGGTAAGCGGGAAACTCTTGGATGACATCCAACAAGGAATAACCATCAATGATGTGGGTCTAGTAAAGGTCTTAAGGTATAAGACGCATAATGACTCTAATACATTATGAGTTGGGATCAATGATTGAGCCATTCTGTTATTAGGCCTCTAGAAGGTAGTCATGGCAACATAACCTATACTCGCGGATATCAACCTGAACCCACCTCAAATTTGACAGGGAAAACCCGCTTTGATTGAGTTTAGGTTTGGGTTTGGACTTTCTTCGATTACAAAATATAGGGACGAGTCAGAAAATGGGGACACTAGTATCCACCTCGATCTCGCCCAGTTTATTTTATTATGTATTTTATTATTTAGTTTTGATAATTTAGAATATTAAATATGTGGTCAATGTTTTGGAATTTTGATTTGCATTTATTATTTAAGATATTTGAAATGTATGTATGGAATTTTTTTAGATTGTTTTATTTTATCATTTGTAATATAATTTGATTTTGAAAAAATAAATAAATATTTCTATTAAAAAATTTGATTTCACTAAATGAATGGTGACGAGGCGGGTAAACCTGAACCTAACCCGAACCCGTTTGAAACATGTTTGAGTTTTAATTCTTCATCCTCGTTGGATATTGGGGTGGGGAACGATGTTTGTTTGGGAGTTTTGGTTTAGGGGTGGTAAAATTTGTTCATAAATCGACCAGTTGCCATGCCTACTGGCCGACTAGAAACATTTACCCATAAGTCCTTGTTCCTACTTGTAGGGAGGGATTTACTGAGATTTTCTTCAGTCTGAGTTGTGGTGGAAGGGGGCGGAAGAGTCTCGATAGGACGTTGATGTCTTTGGCAAAATCCTATTAAATTCTTTCCTCGTTATAAGAAACGCTTTATAGGTATGTCTTAACACGTGTCCCTATGTGTAACACTAATAATCATTTATAGTACTAGAGATTTTGAGTGTTCTTGAACAGTATATGTTGAAATCTTGATCATTGATGATGCGGTTAAGACTTTCCAATGTCGGGGATCACACGGTTTACCATCCCTAGGGAATATAGAAGAAGTCCTGGAGTTATTGTACTCTTCTTTTTGCCATATGCGGCTCTTTGAAAGTTCTTCTCTCACTTATGCAATCTTCCTCAATCTTCTTTAATTGTTCACGAATTCATGCTTGTGCCATCTCTTCTGCTAGAACATGCAACACTTGGGGATTGAGTTCATATACTCAAAGGAGTGTATGAGTCTCACCTTTCTTTTCTTTTTTGCACTTGATTACTTTATTAGAGTTTATGTTGAGAAGAGTATAGGTTTTTGTTTTCTCTGCTTTATGCTTCGGTGAATTCTATTACTATAGACAAATTTAGTGGGACACATATTTTGTTTTTGTGTTGACATCAAGACCATTTATTTTATGCGTTGACAACCTTTTTTAAATGAATAAATTAACTCATAACACGGAAAACGATATGGAATAACTCCACAATATGGGTGATTCAAGAGACATTGGACATCGTTTTCGTCTTCTTTGGTGAAAGTGACTTAGATTACGCCTTTAGTAAAGTGGGTCTCTCCTTAGATTGGGGAGTGCTTCCTCTCGAAGCGATAAAAGGGTTTACAACAAGTACGTTTGGTTCGTCGTTCTTCTCCACGAGTGTCTATTTTCTTTGATAGGTTTTTGTCTCTCTTTCAATAACTTTGATGCGGGCGTTCTGAACCGCCTTGAAATCGCTCCTTCATAACCGCTCTTGATGAGCTGAGTTTATATCAAAAAGTACCGGTGCAAATACAAGAAAGATGTGATGTCTATAAACTAGATGACTTGTGATAGGAAGAAATTTACATGAAAAGAAGATTGATAGTCTTCTTTGAAGAATTGGGTTGTGTCGACAATGTTGTTTCTTTCGAAGCAGTGCCAAAGAAGCAAAAGAAACGGTTCATAGAGACATGCTTGTTAGTGAAAGCCGGTTTGAAGGAGAAGATGAAGGACATTTTGATGAGAAATTTCCATATTTTTTCGTTGGTGTGGGCTGCCATGGGGGGACCCACCAAATAATCTTTAGTTTTACCCTTGATTCCTTTCACACAATATATATATTATTGAGTCCACATCGGTTATTTGCTATATCATGATCTGAAAATGACACTTGAGAATGAGTTAGGCTATGACTCTGAATTTGAAGTTTTTTAATATGCAAAGTAATCCATTGCAACAAATAGAAGCAAAACTTGGCACAAAATGTAGAAAGATGAGCACAATGACTTCTAGTTAAATATACAAGTTGAGAATTGCATGCTCATGCACAGGCTTACTGCTATATAGAACTAATTAAATAAAATTTTAAGCCTACATATGATAAACCAGGAGAGAATCTTATCGTCTTCACATTCAACCATTTCTAGAAATAAAGTAATTATATATTGCTAATTATACAGCATGATGTGAAAGTGATATGTTCAAAAATATAAACTTCAAATGATAGACCCAGTGCAGTGCATATTGAAACTCATCATCTTATTCCATTCATACCAAGACTATTATATTTATTAATAATAATCATGCTACTCTTCTTTATATATATAATACTATTAAACCTTTCATGTATATCCATGTTCCACCAAATATGAATGATCACCAAGACTCACTAGTGTACACAGACAATTTTGAATTGCATGACTTCATTGACGATCCAAACTTTGATCAATTTATAGATTTAATTCGAGGAGAGAATCAAGATGCAATATGTAACTTTGGTTCTAACCTTATTAATGATTGTTTCATTGATAATCATCAACCTCTTTCAATTCCACTAAACCCATTATTTGATTCCAACAACAACAATATTTTTAATATTGTGAATGTGTATGATCCAAGCTCTTCAACAATTGGCTCCTTCTCTTGTTATGATGAGGAGACTAAGGGAGAAGGAGAAAATAATGGTGACGATTCTCCGGAAACAACAACCACGAACTCGGTCGATGATGCCAAATCTAGGGCTAAAACCGATAGGTCCAAGACTCTCGTTTCGGAGAGGAGGAGGAGAGGTCGAATGAAGGATAAACTTTATGCATTGCGATCTTTAGTTCCCAACATTACAAAGGTAAGAGTTTTTATTTCAATTGAATTTCAAATTTCGAATATTACTAAGATGTATATTTGCTTAAACATTTTTAGGTTTTTTATTTTTTTGCATTAGGTTAAGATTGCTACTTATAAGTTTTCAATTTAATATAGATGGATAAGGCTTCTATAATTGGAGATGCAGTATCATATGTGCATGATCTTCAAGCACAATCTAGGAAGTTGCAGGCTGAGGTTTCAGGGCTTGAAGCATCTTTATCCATGTCTGGAAATTATCAAGGATCAATTAACAACACCATGAATATTATTCAAAGCCATCCCATTTGCAAGAAAATTATCCAGGTTTGTTTCATTATTTCTATTTCACATTTTAATATATGTAAACAGTTTTAAGAATTGTGTACTATGTTATAGGTGGAGATGTTTCAAGTGGAGGAAAGAGGTTACTATGCAAAAATAGTATGCAATAAAGGAGAAGGTGTTGCTGCTTCATTGTACAAGGCTCTTGAGTCTCTTGTGAATTTCAATGTTCAAAGTTCAAACTTAGCTACCGTTTCTGACACTTTTCTACTTACATTTACATTGAATGTAAGTTAGTAACTACCCTCTCTATCCAATACAATGATTAGTAATATTTATGGTTTTTAATATTTGGTTTATGGATTAATTAGTGATTATTTGATGTTTTTAAAAAACAGGTGAAAGGTTCTGAACAAGAAATGAATCTTCAAAATTTGAAGCTATGGGTGGCCGGAGCTCTTTTGAACCAAGGCTTTGAATTCATGCCATCCTTTTGAGCCATTGCATGCAGATTGTAGAACAAAAAATTAAATTTCCTACAAAAATTAGACTGAAAAAAAATAAAATTTGCATTAGATTATGAGACTTCTCTATGTTTATTTGTTTCAAATTTAAATCCTTGATTCAAGTGTTTTAAATTAGTGATATAAATCCCTCTCGCTCTTAGCCAACTATTAATATTGACACAAGAGTGTATTGTAGTAGAGAGTTCATGGAAAAAACACAAAGGTGATATTGATTATGAAGTTATTCAATCCTCAACATGAAAAGCTTCCTCATGTACATGAGTAGAAGTTTACATGTGAAAAAAAGTTACACCGCAACAAACTCTAAGCTAGGTAGTTACACCGATAGCCAACAACTAATATTAACCTTGTAGTTTAAGAACCTAACTTATAACTAACTTTAGTAAATGAGTTTAATACTCTCCCTCAAGTTGGGATATATGTCGCAAATTCTCAACTTGGCTATGAGATAATGAAACAAGTTTATAGGTAAGACCTTAGTGAGAGGCTCGGTCAGCTGGTACTTGAATCGTATGTGTATTAACTTGATGAAATCTGCAACTACATGTTCTCTAATTAAGTAGAAATTCATGTCAATATATTTGGCTCTTTCATGACACATTGGATTTGCCATTTGGATTGCAGATGTGCTATCACATAAGACTTTACATGATGGAACATTGATATCGAATGCCCTTAGGAGTTGCTTCAGCCAAAGCAACTTGAATGTGGCTGAGGCTAAAGCTCTGTATTCTATTTTAGCTTATGACCTTGAGATTATTGCTTTCTTTTTAGACTTCGAAGCCATCAATGATTCTCCAATGAAAATACAAAACCATGTGGTGGATTTTCTTATTGTGATACGACTTCTCCATTAGAGTAAACAGAAGGATTTGATGAAAATATTATTCCTTGGCCTGATGTGCCTTCTAGGTACTGCAGAATATGATTGATCCCATTTAGATGTGATTTTTTTGGTTTGTACATGTATTGACTAAGCTTGTAAACAACATATGAAATGTCAGGTCTAGAACTAGTCAAATATAGTAATCTGCCAATGATTCTTTTGTACTGAGAGACATCTTTAAATAAAGGCTATTCTTCATCATTGAAACTTACACCAGGATCCATAGATAGAGAAAATGGTTTAGCATTTATAAAACCAGTGTCCATGGGAATCTGTAATGTATATTTTCTCTAACATAAGTGAATCCCTTTGCTTGAATGTGCGGAAATTCCAATCCAAGAAAGTATTTGAGGTCTCCTAGTAGCTTCAACTTGAACTGGATTTGAAGTATATTATGAGTTTCTTGGACCAGTTTAGGATTAGGATTAGCTAGGTAAATGTCATCTACGTAGAACAAAAGGACAGCAAGAGATTTACATGTTCCTTTTGTAAATAATGAATGGTCAGCTAATGATTATGTGAAGCTATATTTCATGACAGTTATGGAACACTTGTTGTACCATTGCCTTGAAGCTTGCCTTAAACCATAGAGGGATTTATTGAGTTTGCCTACCATGTTCTCCCCATCACTTGGATAGCACTAGTGCATAAATAACTTTTTACATCGGGCGAAACTGACTTTTTACATCGGTTCTGGGTCCGATGTAAAGTCAGGCAATATAGTAAATCAGGGACTTTTTACATCGGTTCTGGGTCCGATGTGAAAAAGACAGTTAACACATCGGTTATAAGCTAAGTCTGATTTATAAAACAAATACAATATTTTTTTAAAAATTGAGACAACATTTTACATCGGTGGATCGTGTGGACCGATGTAAAAGATATCATTTTTACATCGGTTGTGCTTTTCGCCCGATGTAATAGATACAACTTTGAAAGTTTTTACATCGGTGGAAAGTAATGACCGATGTAAAATGTATGCAATTTTTTTTGAATAAATTAATTATTTTCTGGATGATTCCCTGTAAAAAAAATTAGTACCTATTTTTTCATATTTTTCCAATATCACACAGACTATATTTAGGTCGCTATATATATGTCATAGCTTTCCAACATCACATAGACCACATCTAGGTCGATATTTTCATATTTTTCACAATAAACTTACAAAATGAACAATTGTATTGCAAACTTGAATTGTATCACAACAAACAAACTGACAACAAACTTACAAATATATATTCTTCACAACAAACAAACATACAATTGTATCACAACAAACAAACTCACAACAAACTTACAAATATATATTCTTCACAAAACATACAAAAAAATTCAACCATTTATAAGTCTTTTTCCAAACTTGAAATACCAATATAAAATCCACAAGTAGATAAGTTGTAGCTTCGTTAGACAACACCAAAATCACATTGCCTGACAATAAATAATAATAATTAACATAAAAAATATCAAGAAACTCAATACATGTGCAAAAACCACATGTAATGTGCAGAAACTCAATAATAACAATTATGTGCAAAAACCACAACTTAGACAATTCTATAAAAGTCACCAGATAAAGCTTAATTTTTATATAACTCAAAGAAACATTTTGCCCAACGGAGTCGCAAATCATACAAATCATCTTTTGTTAATTATATTGGGTCATCAAATACCTATAATACATAAATATAACAATATAGAGTTATTCTTTAAAAATTCATATTAAGTTGCAAAACACAAAGTAAATAACAAAGTAAAGTTATTTTTATTACCTGCATCTAATTCTCGGTTATATTGGCAGAGACAATATCCAACATATTTTTCATCACATAGTATCCACAATCATTAGAGTTATGTTGTTGCCTTGTCTACAATTGAATGACATAATTAGTGCAAAAACCATACATGTAATGTGCAAAAACTCAATAATAACAATTATGTGCAAAAACCACAACTTAGACAATTCTATAAAATTCACCAGATAAAGCTTAATTTTTATATAACTCAAAGAAACATTTTGTCCAACAGAGTGGCAAATCATACAAATCATCTTGTGTTAATTCTGTTCGGTCATCAAATACCTATAATACATAAATATAACAATATAGAGTTATTCTTTAAAAATTCATATTAAGTTGCAAAACACAAAGTAAATAACAAAGTAAAGTTATTTTTACTACCTGCATCTAATTCTCGCTTATATTGGCAGAGACAATATCCAACATATTTTTCATCACATAGTACCCACAATCATTAAAGTTGTGTTGTTGCCTTTCCTACAATTGAATGACATAATTAGTGCAAAAACCATATATGTAACGTGCAAAAACTCAATAATAACAATTATGTGCAAGAACCACAACTTAGACAATTCTATAAAATTCACCAGATAAAACTTAATTTTTATATAACTGAAAGAAACATTTTTCCCAACAGAGTCGCAAATCATACAAATCATCTTGTGTTAATTCTGTTGGATCATCAAATACGTATAATACATAAATATAACAATATAGAGTTATTCTTTAAAAATTCATATTAAGTTGCAAAACACAACGTAAATAACAAAGTAAAGTTATTTTTATTACCTGCATCCAATTCTCGGTTATATTGGCAGAGACAATATCCAACATATTTTTCATCACATAGTACCCACAATCATTAGAGTTATGTTGTTGCCTTGTCTACAATTGAATGACATAATTAGTGAATATTTACCTCTACAACATGACGAGACTTGGGAACCCCTACAGCATCCACTCCTGACAAATAGTTAGAACAAAACTCAATTGCTTCTTCTGCAATGTACCTCTCAATAATTGATGCTTCCGGACAGTGTGGGTTTTTTGTATACCCTTTTAGGATCTTCATGTATCGCTCTATTGGATACATCCACCGTAAAAAATTGGACCACATAATCTAATCTCCCTTACTAGATGAACAATCAAGTGAACCATAATGTCAAAAAATGAAGGAGGAAAATACATATCTAATTGGCACAAGATAACTGCAACCTCATTTTCCAAATCGTCTAACTTTAGTGGATCAATGGCTTTACAACAAATTGCATTAAAAAATAAGCACAACCTAGTTATAGTATTCCTAATGTTGTTAGGAAATATCCCACGAATAGCCAATGGTAGTAGTTGTTGCATTAAGACATGACAATCATGAGATTTTAAGTCAACTAATTTAAGATCTTTAACTGATACAAGCCTCTTGACATTTGATGAGTAACCATGCAGAACTTTGATACTTTGTAAACACTCACAAAAACTTGTTTTCTCTTTTTTAGACAAAGTGTAGCAGGCAGGAGGCAAATATGTCTTGTTACCTATATATTATGGAGTTAACTCTTCTCGTATACCCATCAAACCCAAATCCAGACGAGCATTAATACCATCTTTTGTCTTCCCTTGAATGTTGAGAAGTGTTCCAATTACACTATCGCATACATTTTTCTCCATGTGCATCACATCAATACAATGTCTTACATCAAGACTAAACCAATATGGAAGATCAAAGAAAATCGATCTCTTTTTCCATACATTTTTCACAGTAGATCATTTTTTGTACTTTCCAAAGACAACATCAAGTCCCTATTTTCGCTGATAAACTTCCTCTCCAGACAAGGGCTTTGGAGCAACACCATGCTCTTGTTCCCCATTAAAAGCTTTTCGCAATCTACGATATGGATGATAATGTTTTAGAAATTTTTGATGCCCGAGATAAACGGTCTTCTTTCCTTTTTCAAGCTGATAGTAACATGTGCCTTTTTCACATATAGGACACGCCTTATGCCCTTTAACTTTATACCCAGACAAATTACCATATGCCGAAAAAACGTTGATGGTGCAAAACAACATGGCACACATATTAAACTGTTCGCTAGAATACGCATCAAAAACATCCACCCCTTCCTCCCACAACACTCTTAAATCATCAATCAGTGGACTTAGATAAACGTCTATGTCATTTCCTGGTTATTTTGGGCCTGATATCATGATCGATAACATAATATATTTACGCTTCATGCACAACCTAGGAGATAGGTTACAAATCATCAGGAGAACAGTCCAAG